GATAAGATATGATAAGATACATCTTTTTGGTCTAGATCCTGGCACATTGATGTTTAACCATGCACACATACACACACACACACACACATATACACACTCACGCACATACACACACACACACATACACACACACACACACACACACACTCACATATACACCCACGCAAACACACTCTCATGTGCACACCCATAATATGCATACACACTCTCTCACACATCCTAAATACTTAGTATTCTGGTAGTAACTCAATTGTATTCTGCTTTAAAGGCCATATGAATACTTATATAGAGGTGATTAAGATGGTAGAAATTTCATGGATAAAGGTAAGAATTTCTTTTTGTATATTTTTTGTTACAGATCAGAAGCTTAGGTCTTTTACTTCTGATTGATATTTTTTTACTAGGGAAAAAGGAGTGCTTGTTGCCCAAAGAGATGAACTTGATTTTCCTAGTTCAAGTGATAATGTCTAATTCGACGAAGTAGGGGAATATTTCGTATGCTTTCCATATTAATCGATTCAATTTAAAAAACATATTTTTGCCTTGCGTTCCCCACCCATGCAGTCATACAGACATTGACCATACTTTCTGTGGTTGAATGATAGGACATGGACTCCGATGATTTATCAACTGTAAAACACATGAGCTCCCTCAGAAAAAAGTAGTATTTTGTTCACTATTTTATGAAAGAGAAAAAAGTGGAAATGCCACTCGAGTGCCATCGATGTAAACAGACAAATGACAAATAAAACAAGTGTTTTCTTTTAATAGATTCAAAGATACGCCTGAAAACTCCTAAGTCCAGACCAGACGCAACGGAAGCCAAGTTTGAAAAGAACCCTCTGCACCCCTCATGTCTATGGGTGTCATGGACTATCGTAATTATAACAGTTGTATCCTGCAGCTTCTTTCTTCTCCTGTACTCCATGCAATGGGGAAAGACTGTTTCTGGTGGGTATTTTTTACTGTGTCAATTTTTTAAATTTTTTTTCTAGTTTCTTCTGTTACTTTTGTTTAATATTTTATTGTTACTGTTGTTGCTCTCGTTGTTTCTTGCGCTGCCAGTTGTCTTGCTACTATCGTTGCTGTGTTTGCTATCATTGTTGTTATTCTTGTTGTCATTGTCGGTGTTGTTTTGTTTTGTCGTTTTGTTGTTGTTGTTTGTGCTGGTTCTATTACTACTGCAACTATTTGTGCTCTGTATTGTTAAAGCGTTATTGTTAAAGTGTTAAAGCGTTGTTAAGGTGTTACTACTTTTAAAATATAGAATGTTCATATTATTATGTTTATTATTCATACGTGTAGATATGAGTTTAAATCATTAAAGCATTTGTAAAATAAACACTTCATAGGCCACACTTTCCAAGGCATCAGAAATCATTATTAATCCGGAATCGTACACAACTTTTTGTTGGCGTATATTTTGTTCTATACCATACTTGGAGTTATTTTAGTATTGCACTTCCGGTAAAATAAATATTCATATTTCACATGAGCTGTCCAGGCTCATATCTGACACGTGGAACATAAACATTTGCTTAAATTACTCCGCGCACTATAGTCGCCCTCTAACATGGCAGCCACTCTCACCACCCCCCCCCCCCCCCCCCCCCCTGTAAAAACTTCCCTGCAAAGCGCGCTCACCATAGGCGCCCACAAAACGTGTCAAACACCAGTCCCACTGTCTCTGTAGTAGAGAGTAGGCACAACTCTCTAGTTCCCCATAATTTTGTTCCAAATTGATTCAAATGGTGCGCACCATTGTGAATAAGGATTATGTCAGAGTGTGGCAATGTATTTTAGTGCAATGGTAGGGAGTCTATGCTAGGAAACGATTCCCAGCTTTTGGTTCATTTTGATTGCAAAGTTTAAAATCAAAGTCATCTCTATTCTCATGACAACATGTCATATAAACGCAGTTTCTTTAATTTGTCAAATTTTGAATCGTACATATTCTGCTTGCTTTGCCTATAATTAGGTTATTATTGTTTCTTTGGGGGTTTATTTTGCGGAGAGAAGCACTCGGAAACATGTTAATAAGCGTGAAAAAAATAAAGGGAAACAATCCAGATTTTTTCCAATCCTCACTGTTGACTCCGACAGGCATGAACATGTTGTTTTCATATGATATTCTTGAATGGATTCTCATGTTGAATTAGCTGGTCATTTGAACTTTATGGTCCTCATCTATTTCGCTCGTTATGGTGTTAGGCCATGATTTATCCTGCTTGTGAAATTGCTAGTTGAAATCAATCGTTGAAACTCGTGATTACAACCTGGTAATTTGACTCGTAGGATAAACCATGATCTATCACCACAACCCATGTATAAGGTGGCCAAAAATTCGTTACGCATCTTTTTGTCGAATGTCTCCTCAACTATCAGTTTTTGCACAGTGACTTGCATCAATTTGTCTTAACAGATCAACATTTTACTAAACACATACTAGCTGTATTCTAGAAAATTTGATGATGAATACTAATTTTTTTTTAAAAACAAGAGGGCGGTTTCTACAAACATTACAGCTTTTAACAGCAAGTCTGTCATGTTTTTCTAATGGAGATATTGTGCTTATTGAAAGCATGTTTTGAGAATCTTCAGTGCAAAACATGAGTTCACTATAAAATTAAAATAGTTTCTTGTAACAATTTTTGCAACAAAAAATTTGTCATTGGTAAGCTGTGACGTAGGCTGCAGGTATAATCAAAATGATACGTCTGAGAACCGGAAAGTGCTGTAAACAATCCCATTTTATGTGTGACGGAGATATCAAGTATTTTATATAAATTTATGAAGAAACGTTTTTTAGTCTAGCCCAAATTGTTGTTGAAAAATAATTACGATATAGTTAAGACAAATTGATACAAACTGCCGTGCAAACTGACCAACAATGATTCACCCAATAAAGGGATATTAGAGGATAAGTTGAACCACCAATTTTTGACAGCACTATAATAAAAATAGGTAATTTGCATCACTATATATTTTTCTTCTACTTCTTTCAGAGGAGTGGCTAACGTCTTTTGTCTTGTCGTTTTTTGAAAGTATTTTCATCTTGGATCCGATCAAGGTTAGTACAATCTTGTACTCTTTTAAGAGTTTACTCGTGTGTACACCTAAAATCAGGAAACATTCATTTATTTAATTTGAATTTAGTTGAAAATAAATATATCATTTTGAAATTGATCTTTTAATGCCAGAAAAATAGAAGGGCAATTTATTGGAGAGAAAAAAACACCTGAAGGAGAATAAGTAAGGTCTTCCAGTGGCTGCCTAAAACAGCCGCCGCCATCAGAGATGGTTTGAAACAATGTTTATTTGTTTATAAATAGTTCGATCCTTAGTGTGATGCTTTGCAGTAACCTTTTGAACTTACTCCACGTTTGTATTATTTTAACCCAGTATTCTATGCATCCCATAAAAGTGATCTTTATAAGAGGAAGAAAAAACTTGTTTCATTACCAAGCAATGACTGATTACAAAACTAAGACACACCTTTTTAAAGCTGCTCATCAGCTTTTTCTGTTCGTAACAGATATAGGTGTAAAATGGGAATTTTGTCTTGCATGTTCATACGGACGTGAAACCTGCACAATTCATGCAAAACAATAATAATAATAATAA